CTTTCCCACTCATATCTATAATTCAGGAAAGGACTATTTCTTGAAGGGCTATTTCTTGCCAGTGTCTAGGAATACCTAGGGAACACTTCAAATATTATTTCTGGAAGCTGATCTTCCTTCATGGTTCCAATTGCTATAATGTTCCAGTGTCAGATATATACCTTACACTCCACAAGATTATGGTGATCAGACAGTATAATAGTAACAGAATGGATGGTAGGAGAAAAGTTGTGCACATTAACGATGATCCTATGATTTGACAATCATTAGAGAATAGAACAATCCAACATGATTCCTAATACTTCATTGTACTCATTATCTTCAGTGAGTTACTCTGAACTTTACTGTTCTAATCTTCTACCTTCTTAATAACAAATTAGTCTTCTCTTAAAAAAATGTTTCTTCCTTACTTCCATATCTTTTATATTTGTCCACAAGACCTATTATAAATTAAATATTAATGTATACTAGTTCATGATTACTACTCAATCAAATAAGTTTTGTGCATCTATCTAGCAAAATATTGCCATGTGTTTAAAGGGTTTTAACATCTGTCTTTCTTGACTAAGAGCTAGAAAGAAGTTTAGATTTCTTCCCCCATTCATCCTATACCTAGCAAATGTTGCCCAGTACATCATATAACCTTTAGGTTATATGAACTGATGAATGAATGATTTTTATCTTTCTTATTATAATAGAAAATCAATAAGTCAATACTATAAACCATAACGAGGCATTCATTACAGCATTTCAGAAAATATTTGCAAAAATCTTAAAGTAGCAATTATTGATTTCTTGCTCTTTACAAAAACTTCTAATCAAAAAGTGAGGTTGCTTGAGAAGACTTTTTTCTTTTAAAAGAAAAAAATTGATTTTTCACAGCATTTTGGCAAAATGAACATATTTTTGAAAGTTATATCTCTTTCAGAATATTGAAATCCTGGTTATAAAGATAATTATGGGCATAACATTAATTTTAGTTACTATTAAAATTGATAACTGAACCATTAATAAGCAGAAGGTTGGGCTAGATAAGGGGGTGTGCACCTGTACTCATATCCCAGGAGACAGGAAAGGAGGATTACCACAAGTACTAGGAATTCTTGATCTAAATGGGATGATCTTGTTTCTCATGGGAAAGATAGGGTCTGGAAAAGGAAGGAGAAATGATGTAATTATATTTTAATTTTTTTAGAAAAAGAGGTTAAATTATATGTTGTACCAGAAACCTAGCTAACTTCCGGGCCAGTGAATTCATGGACTTTTGAAAAAATCATCTGTAACTGTTACTTTGCTAGACTAGCATGATTCCTTCCTACATTTTTAAATATTATACCCACAGAAAAATGTAACGACCAACTGCTATCCAAGAGGCTTCTCATTAAAGCAAATGGCGAACTTTGCAGAAAACCAGGTATCTGCAAAAAGATATAGAGATCTTGAGGATATCCAGCCTCAACAGATGCATCTGCACCACCATTTCTGCATCTATGGCACAAGGAACATTGCAAAAGAGAAGACAGTGAGAATATTGGAGACAGAATCCCAGAGCGTCTGCTGTGAAACAGCATCTTCTGTAAAAGGGCGCTTAAACAAGACTGGAACACGGCTAATATCATTAGTCATACTACATGGGAAGGTGAAAATTGTGTGGGTCTTGGGAAAGAGAGAATTAGCTTCTCCCAGAAATGAGTCTCTTTATTGATTATCCAATGGTAAGCATGCAGCCATGAAGCCATATGCACATAAACAACAAAAAAGACAAAGCCTGTTAAAATTATGTATCTTTGCATACATATGTATATATATAAAATGATAATAAACAAAGAAAAATAGGCTCTCAGTTTGAAAGTGAGGGGTATGAGAGCTGGCGGAGGGAGCATACATGGGAAGGACGTGAGGGAAGAAAGGGAATGGGAAAAGTAGTGATTGTATTTTACATAAATATATTAAAAGTCATTAATAATTTAAAAATAAGATTAAATTAAACAAAAGAAAAGAAGTGAGCATGATGGTGCATGCTTTTAATTCCAGAATTGGGAGTCAGAGGAAAGTGGATCTCTGTGAATGAAATCTACACAGAGATTCTTAGGTCAGGCAGAGCTTTGTTCTCATTTCAATTCATTATCCATTATCCTCTCTGGTCCCATGGCAGAAATGTAATTATCTGGCATTCCATGATGCAACTGTGATTCATACAAATAAATCTGTAACAACACCCTGTGAAGGAGAAGAGGTAACTAAATCAGGAACAAGAGAATAACAATGGGTCAGTGAGATGGTTTATTGAGTTAAAAAAAATGGTCTCAGCTCCATCCCTGGAACATACATGAGAGATATGGAGAATTGGTTCCTCCAAGTTGTCCTCTGGCTTTCACATGCACACCATGGCATGTGTGTGTACAGACAGACAGAGAAGAAAGAAAAGAGGAAGAAAGGAAGATGGAAAAACAGTAAATAGAAAAGCAAGTAAATAAATTCTCCAGCTGATGCTCTTACATTTTGCAATGATCACCATATTACAGGATCATTACTGTTGTATAATATTTCATTCTTCCACCATCAATTCTATCTTACTATCATATCCTGTGATAACCATACTCTTATGGAATTCAGTCAAATTCATGATCCATAAAAATGCAATTGAGCAAACTAAATTGTTTCTGGAAGATTCTGGTCTGTATGCCTCTTGTTTTTTCTATGCTACTGAGTTATTTTCACATGTATTATTGAATATATAGTATGGTTGAGAGTTGTCCATTAATGCTGAGCAGACTTGCCTTCTTGTTCACTTACAACAATCCATTTTTTTATTTGAATCTAGTTTCGCGTGTGACACTTTCATTAGATTTTTTTTCATTCATTTGTAAGAGATGCTAATACTATTAGTGAAGAAATGTGAATGGAATCAATGGACCTATGATATGGCTGAATCTTTTTTTTTTTTTTTTTGGTTTTTCGAGACAGGGTTTCTCTGTGTAGCTTTACACCTTTTCCTGGAACTCACTTGGTAGTCCAGGTTAGCCTCGAACTCATAGAGATCCACCTGTCTCTGCCTCCCAAGTGCTGGGATTAAAGGCATGCACCACCACCGCCCGGCGGCGGAATCTTAATTTGCAGACAGGGACAGGAGTAATGAATTGAACCAGCGTGGTAGTGTTATTACACTAACGATGATGACAATAACCTTTACTGATTTGATTCCTTATTTCCTATTAATATATTCAAGTTGTGGTCAATTCAGTGTGGGGATTGACAGTCATTTTTCTTTAGGGGTTTTTTTCTATATGGGTAATATGTTCTTGTAACTATTCAACTCTGATGAAATAGTGCTAACGCAACAGAGAGAATATGTAAACAAATTGATGTGTTACTTTGAAATGGAACTCTTCTTAAGAAAACAGGAATCAGGTCAGTTTTGATCCGAGGGCCATAGTTTGCCAATTACTTGACCTATTGGTTACTGATTCAAATAATATAACATTTTCTGTAGAAATACATTTTAATCATGATGACAATAGTCTTTACTTTGTCATAATGAGTTCTATTATGTTACTCCATACTAGATCTAGCTCAGCTTCTTTTGCGAGTTGAAAGGCATTTTTATAAAAGTTAATTGAAATAACTGCTAAATATTTTGCCTAAAAATGAATCCCATAGTCAAAGGAGTCTTATATATGTTTCTATAACAGTGATTATGAAAAGAGTTTCCATGATGATAGTGTGATAGCGTGACTGGCATATCCATTGTGGATGAGAAAGGAAATTCCATCTGCAAAACATGTTTTTATTTTTAGGAAGAACCTATTACTCATTTGTTCATAGTATAAGAATTCCAATTTAATCAAATTGTCTTTCTAGGCCAGTAGTTGAGTCTCTCTGCAGATAGTATCTGAAATTGTCTCAGTATTAGGCTCCATTGTTTCCTAGTTCACTCGGCAGTGGCTGCAGCAAGAACATCATTGGAATTAATGACAGCATTTGTGGAAATTTGGTCATGGTCCCTTCAATGATAAATTAAATCACACAATAAACTCAGCAGTATGACAATGAGTAAAATATATTTAAATAGTAAATTATGTCAATAAAATATTATTTTCTAGCAATGCTTATTAAATTGTAAACCTGGTAAGATTTCAGTTTTTAAAAAGGTGTTAATTTATATGTGCAAATTTATTGAAAAGAATGTGAGCAAATATGTTGCAATCATAATCACTGGAAAGTACAATTATACATCATTTTAACAATATACAAAATAGTACCTATGATAGATGAAACTTTTGTTGACTCAAAGCATAACCTTTGGGATGATGCTAGCCTAACCTTCTTTGGGATTCCATTATGAAAGAAGAGACATAACTGAGCAAAATGCATGATGCTAAAAATGCTTGCTGGATTATTGAAAGACCTTGCATGAAATGTTGCCTTTGTTAGAATTTCATCTGGAACCTGAATCCCATGTACAGACCTCTATCCCAAAGCTGGTTGTTAATAAAACACTTTTGGTTTTCCTTCTAAATTTTTGATAACTTTGCCTAATGATTATCCATTGATTATGAATCAGTGTCAATTGATTTTATATCTTTTGTCCAAGTGAAGTAGTCAGCCACGCTCAATAACGGAGCACACACGGGCAGTGTTTCTCTTTATCACTTTCAGATCAGCCCTTCCACAGGCTTGTGATGGGCTGAAATACATTTCCAGCAAATGTAAACAAGAATTAATTTGATATTAAGTAACTTCTTAAAATGCACTGTACTGTGTTGAAGGAGGCCCATCATGCTTTGTCAAGGTAACCCTGCTTGGTGTCAAGTACTCTCAAGAGTTACATGTGTCTTCTCCACTACCCCAAAGTTATTCTACAAAATGAAGAAATATTTAATAAATCCCCAACTTTCTTCTTTGAATATGAATTGCCACAGTATATATTTAATATTATGATATGGTGTATCAGATCTCACTGAAAAAGTAATAAAGCTGTGGCTGCCTAACGGAAACTCTTAGTTACCAAGCACAGGAGATACCATGAGCAGGAGGGATTTTTTTCCAGGGAAAAGTTTATCTGTTGGACTGCAAATGTGCTTTCCCCTCTATTTCCCTCAAATGTAGGAAATTTGAACCAGTAATTTGTGGTGGTGGGAAACTGTGTTCATGCTCTCCTCTGATATTTATGCTCTGGGTATATCGATACATGCTTTAAGTCCTAATATGAGGCAGAGGTGGGGGCAGAGGTGGAGGCAGAGGCAAAGGTGGCAGCCTGGTCTACTTAGGAAGTTCCAGATGAAGCAGAGCCATATAGAGACAATCCAAGCTTGTTTCATTTCCTGGCCAGCCCCCCAAGAAAGAGTGAACTCAATTCCCAAAGCATAATTCACAAAACGAAACAGTTATCATTAGAAGAGACTAATTACTCAACAAATTAATGAAGTTATATGCAATCTATAGAGTGCCTTGTAGAAGTCCCTTGCATTCTCCATGTCAGTGGTTCTGTTGTATAAAATAATCTGAATCATTTACTGACTGGCTGAGCCTACCTCTGAACATCTTCTCAACATATATTCCCTCAAGCACCTAATAAATGGGATATCTTATCACATTTGCATAACAACCTCAATCCTAAGAATTCTATCATGTACTGTGGCATCATGGACCTAATGGAGGCTCCTTCCTCTCTGATGACACTAGCTTGTGTCAAGTTGACATAAACCCAGCCAGTACACATGCCAAATGAAAAGACCTTAGAATTTTCTATACCAACTGATATATTAAAAATTATCAAAACAGCACAACATACTTCTGCCAGATAAAAAGATGGTGACTGGATACCAGTGTTTACATTCATTTTTAAAGCACAGAAATAATATCTGCAATAATACCTACAGAAAATTTGTTAATTAATTTCAAGAAAAAATAATCTTTTCTAATAATGTGTTGACATTTTTCAAGTCCATAACTTTTTATCAATGAAGCTTATGATAATTTCTTCATTTTCCCAAGGATAATCTATGGATTATGTTATTTGATAATGTTTGAACAGTCTTGATGAACCCCTATTATCCCCTCTTTTCAAAACAACATATAACACAAAATCAACATGTAGATATGACCAACTCTGAAGAGTATCTTTTAAGCTAACTTAGGGGCATAGAACATATCTGTATGATGGATTTGAAAACGCACTGTCCTTTTGTGGTAGCTTAAAACAATATCTATTAATTTAGAGCTGAGTATACACCATTCTGATTTCCCTAATGGTAGTCTTTTGGATTTTCTTGAATTGGAGATAATTCAGAGCTAATGGAAAATAATCCCCAAATGATAATCATTCTGAAAAAAAAATAGTGCAGTTTCATTGAAAAAGCCTCTATGGTGTCATAAAGTTTGGATGGTGTTACAGGCCATCTTTCTCAAGTGGTACTGGCCTCCATTTTCTTGGAGAATCTCAGACTCACTGTGGTAATAGTCAGAAGTATCGACTGAGTTTCTTTCACAGTGATTAAAATAACATAACTTTAAAATCTAATAAGTGCTTCAGTAGCTTGCTTCTCATTATTTAAGACAACACAGTCTTTTGTGCAATACACCTCTAAGGGTGAATTGACTCTGACTGATGACCCTCCAATGTTGCCCATTTTGATGGCAACAGAATATTTACTGGTGTGCTGATGTGCAGGGTAAATACTACCTCTCGAACTCTGATACTCTGGCATACCAAGTTCCACTGAAATCACAGCTTCTCTTAAAAATTAATTCTATGTGTCATCACTTCAGTTCACAGCAGATGACTAAAACATGCTTTCTAAGGAGTCTACACTTATCTTCACCAATATTTATTTCAACATAGGAGGAACACTGAGGTCAAACGGAGCAAGTTTGTATTAAATCCCACTTTCAGTTCTAGCATTCCTTTAATGACTGGCTTTGATAAACAAGGGCTGTAATATCAGATATGAGAAGTATCTACTTCTGTAATTTCCAGATATACTTTCATTGTGTTTATTTATTTATTTAGAAATGACAGTTTCATTTGGGGGGTGGAGTACTGATCAGTAGTTCAAGATAACCCTAAGCTCATGATTATTTTCCTGTTTTAGCCTCCTGGATGCCAGGACTACACAAAGCACCATCATGTCTAGCTTCTTAGGTATACATATTATAGAGTATACAAGAATATGTTAGTCTCAAAGAAGAATGCTTCTTCTAGTGAACAATGTTTAGTTGATACTAAGATTTGTATTTTGTTGTTTTCAATACATCTTTGTTCTTATAAATTTCCTCACCAAATCATAGGGTTCCTAATTTGTCAAGGTAGTGTCCATATCAGAAAAAATGAATAAATATGTATAAAAATTGAGTTATTTTATTTTAAAATTTATCTACCTTGATTCGGAGTTCAAACTTACACTTTTCATCTTAAAGCTACCAAAATTTATTAACTTATTTTAGCCTACAATATAAATTCATGTGTTTTCCTATTTACTGATAAGAAAATATCGAAGATTAAGCATATTATTTCTATTTAAAAGATAAACACAATGTTGGAGATATCTAAAAATATGTGACAATTCAAACTTTTCCATAATTTATTTATTTTTTATTTTGTAGTACTAACCACAGGTCCCCCTCTCATTCCTCCTCCCACTGTCCCCCTGCCTCCTGCTGCTCTGCATCTCCTTTTCCAACAGGGTAAGTTCTCCCATGGCTGGGGGGTGGGGTGGAGTGGGGGATAGCTAAGCCTGGTACCTTCAGTTGAGACAGGACCAAGCCCTTCCCCACTTTATGAAGGGTGAACAAGGTGTCCAACCATACGCAATGGGATCAAAAAAATTGGCTCATGGTGAGCCGTGGTGGCACATGCCTTTAATCCCAGAATTCGGGAGGCAGAGGCAGGCTGATCTTTGTGAGTCCAAGGCCAGCCTGGTCAACAGAGCAAGGTGCAGGAAAGGCACAGAACTATACAGAGAAGTTCGATCATGCACCAGGATAGATCATGACCACACTGCCAGGGGCCCATCAAACAGACCCAGCTACACAACTGTATCCTGTAAGCAGAGGGTCCAGTCCGGTCCCGTGCAGGTTCCACAGCTGTTAGTCTAAAGTTCACGGGTTCCTTTGAGATTGGTTCAGTTGCCTTTGTAGATTTCCCCATTATGGTATTAATACCCATTGCTCATATAATCAATCCCTTTTTCCTCTCTCCAACTGGACTCCCAGAGCTCAGCCTGGTGCATGGTTGTGGATCTCTGCATCTGCTTCCATCAGTTACTAGATGAAGGCACTTGCTGAAGCAAAACATGATGATGGCGAATCTGTCATCATAGAGGCTTCATCCATGAATCATTCTTTTCTGCTGGACAACTAACAGTGGCACAGAGGGTAATGCTGACATATCATCACTATCTTCATGTTTTGCTTCATCAAATACCACTGTTGTGTGATCCAACTCCAAGAAGGTTTCATTCCAACCACCCAAGTACAACAATAGAATTCTCTGTCATATAACCACTCCTGGTGTTTATTGCATTAAAAATATTTCATTAAAAAAATCTCCTCAGTGTGGCTCAATAGAATGAAGTAGCTTCATAAAGGATGGAAGAATTCAGAACCTGCACACGGTACAGTGAAGCAACAGAAGTTTTAGAGAGGATGCTGTCCTTTACATTTGTTGAAACAAAAGATAGAAAACAATTTGACAACATCATGATCCCATCCAATAGAGATTGAAACTGTGGAGGTGGTTGACTGTTGTAAGCTAGAATCCTGGAAAAAATAAAACAAAGAGTAAGTGCTAGTCACTTCTCTTCTGTTTTACCTCCAAACTCTTGAATTTCTATTGGCTGAGATGAATCAGAATTCTGGCACAGGACCTTGGAAAGATAATTGGAAGAATTCAGTTCCTGCCAGAACAGATTGGGCTGCCAGAACTGCAAGGAAGAGATTGCAAGCATAGAGCAAGACTACAACAGCATCCCATGTCATAACCTTTCTTCAAAGATCAGAGGAAGGTGATCTATTTTTCTTCAGATAGCATAGAACCCTTTTGTTTTATTTATTTATTTTTAAATTATTCTTGTTCAGAGAATGTAATTTTCCTTAGCACTTAGCTTCATGGTTTAATGATGGACCTATAAGTTTGGAAGCTATTTCAATTAATAATCTAGTAATTTAAAACCAATTTCTATTGATATTGAAATTGAAGAAAGTCCATGACTTATATTGTTAATGAAATGACATCTGTTGTTATTTTGTATACATCCCACATCATGAAGACATTAAATCATGAGGAAGGATAGAGTGTAGGCAAGCGGACATATGAGTTATGAGTATATAATGCTATTTTTGCCTAGTTTCAACTTCATTTCCACCACAATTTCTTCTCTAAAGATTTTATTTCTCCTGGTAGATATGCGAATTCAACTTTTTGTGTCTTAAAATAACAGAAACCACATTCAAGTCCCAAAGGGAATCATAGTGGTTATTCTTTAAGCAGTGATTTTGAAAAATTGAGATTTTCTTTTTATTCCAATATCCATTATTGAAAAGGAATTCAACATGAGTAGTCACATTTGCTGCACTGACCCATTTAAAAAGAGCTTTTAAAAAAGCTGTTCTGAGAAGGGCTTCTGTCACTTGAAACTTTTCCTTTACTAGTTCTGTTCAAAAACTATATCAAATAATTCTATCATGGTGTCATTCAGTATGTCAATTGTGTGGCCATTAATAAAATAAAGCACAGTCTTAACCTTGAACTTTTAATTCAATTAATTAATATATAAATTTCAAATTTGGGTCATTATTACTTTGGTTGCTTTGACCATCCGTTGTAGTTGTACTGTGCTATTAAAAATATCTGTCACCGTACCAGCACCATTGTCCCGACAGCCGTACCGCTCTGATGTGGTTGGGAAAATGGAAATATGCATCTTTCAGTTGTGTTTCTCTATAAAAATTGTTTTGACTTTTATTCATCCCTTGTGTTTTCCAATGAAATGAATAATTAGCCTTTCAATTTCTCAAAAAGAAAAAAAAGACCAGAAACAAAGAAATTGTGCTTTTGATAGGAATTACAATGGGTCCCAAATCATCCAGTTTAGGAAGCATATGCTCAGAAACATTATTTTCTGATCTGCTAATGAAAGAATAAAACCACCATTGTATTATC